AAAAAAATGGGCGGGGTTTCAAAAAAAGGTGTTTTTTTTTTTGCGGTCTTTCCCCTTTCCAGGGTTTTTTATGTTGGGGGGTTTCAACCGGTTTAAAAAACGGGGGGGCCCAAAAAAGGGGGGGGGGGGTAAATTTTTGGGCCCGGGTGGTTCCCCCAAGTGTTTAAAGGTTTTTTTTTTTTAAAATGGCCCGGTTCCTTTTAATTAGCCCCCCCTTTGGTTGCCCGGGGAAATAAAAAGGGTTTTTTTTGGCCCCCCCCCCCCCCCCCAGAGCCTGGTCCGGTGAGAACCCGGCGTGCTCCGTCTCGGCTTTGTACAGTAGGGATGCGAGGTCAATGGTCTAACGACTACGGCATGCATGACTATGAGTACACCCCCCCCCCCCCCCAGTACCTGGTCCTCATCCGATGAGAACCCGGCGTGCTCCGTCCCGGCTTTACAGGGATGCGAGGTCAATGGTCTCAACAACTACGGCATGCACGACTATAGAGTACACCCCCTCCCCCCCCCCCCCCCTCAGTGTATAGATAGCAGCAAGGCGGCAGTAAAGGCCATCACCGTGCCAGAGTGCAGAAAAGCAACGACATGGGGGGAGCTAATGTACGCGTGGACGCTCGGGGGAGACGCGTGTGACTCTGCTGACACCCGGGTGAGTGGCCATCACGACGAAGACGCCAGTGTCCGGGGTGCTACGCATAATATGTACCTACAGAGCTCCCCATGAATTACTTGCTGCATGTCCTTCGCGGGTGGACGGAGATCGCACAGGATTTACAGCGTCGCCTATCGAAACGAAAGCAGCTCTCGCCTTACTGCTCTAGAAACGCGCCAAAACTGTTTGCCAACAAGGACACGCGTGGAATTGGGCCGGGCGGCATTTACGGTTACGGCGGTGCACAGGCAACCAACACCCGCACATCCAGAAGCCAGGTGTCTGCAAACCTGTTTGACCAAGCAGTGAGAAGAGAATAGCAACAACAAGCAGGCCGTCCGTACCCCCCAACATATGGCCTACCAAAAATGATAAAAACTGCCGTCTGCTGTGCGCCTTCGTGACATGAATTTCGCTTTTTTGCCCGTGGTACCTGCTCTTCTCCGTACGTCAGGGGCTTCTCCTCATCGCCCGACCACCCTTGGTCGTCGTACGCATAGGCATCGTCATCGTCATCGTCGTCTTCGTCCTCGCTGTCGCCGCTGCTGCTCCTGCTGCTGCTGGTGTGGTAGTCCTCCCTTGGCCCCTCGCCGTCGAACTGGGGCAGCGGCGGGAGGGTCATGTCGCCGATGCTTTCGTTCTCCATGAGCTGTCTCGGGTTGTTGTCGCGGGGCGACACAGCCGGAGACAAGGGAGGCGCGGGAGGGATACAGCTTTGTGGTCATGTTTTGGGTCGTACTGCTATTGTTGTTGCGGCCTCATCGTTTTCGGTGCGGGTTTTCGCAAGGGCCTCGTCATATCGCAAAATAAATTGACGACCCACGTACGTAGTGGCACTACGACATGTAGACAGCTCGGCACGTCGTTGACGTAATACTAAAGATGTAACGTCATCGATACCCTCTACGACCTCCAACCAGACGCGAGACACACGATGCCAAATCATGTTTGCAGCAGGCAGCAGAGCAGTTCGCGGAGACACTTGTTGAAGTCCAAATTTCGGGGTTTTCTCATTTCTTCCTGTGCACCAGGCCAACAGCGGACGGCCCCAGCACCCGCACATATGGCTGTTGTGGGTGGAAGCTTATCCATCTCCTGGGTGATGTCTCCTTTTATCTCCAACAGCTGCTACTGCTGCGGCACCTTCTTTTGCTGTCCGCCGCATCGGGCGGCGGCGCGGTCGGCCCCATTCCCAAAACTCAAATGCCTTGATCATCACACCTCGGAAACGCAGCGGTCGACCATGGTCCACCCGTCCCCTTCCCTCCTCGCTGTACTCGACCCGGGGCTCGACATGGTGAACAAGTGCGTGAGTCCCGCCTTTCACACCGCTCGCCTCTCCTCTCTCTCGCCTAGCCTGCAATTGATGTGTGTGGCCTAACCCCACTGACTGAGCGCTGTCTCTTTCATGTTGATACACGGCACCCCGCCGTACCAATAGTTCCTGGTTTGCGGCCCCCCTTTGGCGAGTCCTCGTCCGCAGCGCGGTTGCAACACCACCTTCCACTAGCGGTAAGCCGAGGATCGCGAGGATCCCTAGGCTTCGAACCAGGTCTAGATCCGCGCAAGACCCTTTGCCCTTCGGAAGGTTGCGGGTTTGCAACTGTCAGCCATGGCGAGGACCGATAGAAACAGCACTCGCGGCGGCGGTGGTTCTGCTAGGAACAACAACACCGCCGGCCGTCGCACCCCGTCCCCCGAAGAAGACCATGATCGCCTTCGGAGTGGCAGGGGTAGCAGGGGAAGGTCTGGCCGGGAACGACCAACATCAGAGAGCAAGGGCGTCCGAGAAGGTACCCGTGGCGGTGGCGGTCAAGATCGAGGGTGAGTGAAAGCAAGCGCGAATCAGGTACATGTCTGTAGCCTGTTGCGGCGGAGAGGCAGGCATGTTCCTCCTCTTCCTGGTCCTCCCGTTTTTGGTGCCATGCTATTTAGCGGGGTGTGTATCTGTTGACGCGGCGCCAGCGAAGAAGCTCTGACCCTAGTCGTTGCAGGTACGTACGTACTTGTTCGCCGCCAGACACGGATTTCTGGCGTTCACCGGTTCAGCTGTTTCACGTCTCCCGGCAGATGGGTCAGACTGCTTCCGTGGGTGCCGGGGCAAGAGGGAGGGCTGGCTATCTACAACCGCTGTAGTAACGCAGTCAGCCAGGCGTAGGATCTGCCAATGCCGTACGGGTATTGCTTATCGGTTGCAAAGCGGACGGTCTATTCTTCTACAATGGTGTGGGATTAGAGGGCATGAGGCAGTCAACCCAGAACCTGAGCTGTGCCTCAAATCTGCAGAGATGGTTGAGTGCCATCATGTCGATGGCGCTCAATGGCCACTATGAGCGGCCATTGGGCACCATCGCATTGGTGGGACTCGTTCATGTCCCCAGATGTCATGCCCTCTTATCTTGTGTAGGTTAGAAGGGACGGAGGGGGCTATCTTCAACCGCTGCAGTGCAGAGTAGAAGGGCGTATGCATAGGATCAGGCAGTTTTGCGCGATTCCTGATTGCAAAGCGGAGGGCACTACTGCTGCTAGAGAGCGTGAGGGATTTGACCCAGGCCTGAGCTTCGCTTCCCATCTGGGGAGATCGTCCTGTCAGGCGAACTGCGATGGCTCTCGATCACCACTTGGTTTGCGTGTTCCATGACCGCCATCTCAAGTGGTCCGATGCGATGATCTCCCCAGATGTGAGGCAACCCAGGTTTCGTCCAGTGCCTCATGCCTCATGCCCTCTAACTCTAACACCAGTGTGGATGAAGAGCGCCGTCCGCCTTGCAACGCTTAGCAATAACTGCACGAAACTGCCAGCTCCTACGCTCGGCTGACTACCTTGGTCTAGTGGATAGCCTCTCTACAATATTTTGTTACCAGCGGTTCAGGTTCGATTCCCAACGTACGCATGCCCTCCTTCCGCACCGGACAAACTGGGAACTGAGCAATAGAAACGGCATCCATGTTCTCCTCTACTTGTGTCAGAGTCACCTGGTTTTGTTTGTAGCAACAGCGCATTGGCATCTATTCCCCGTTGATGGCCTGGAAATCGAACCCCCTTACAAGCCAGGTGTAGCGGTCTACATATCCCGTTGATCAACTCCTTTGTATCGCAGCTGTTTACATGTCGGAATCCTTTGTGTTGCTCGGATAGAGGGGCTGCCTATCCCCTACAGACCAAAGTAGCCCAGTTTGGTCTAGTGGATGGCCCCTCTAACCAACCAAGGGTCAGGTCTAGCTTCAACGCGTTAACTCCCAACTCCACGCGGTTGTTTTGACCTCTGCTGCCATTGATGTGCAAGAGACCACTGCTGGTAACATCCGAACACATTTGTACACGTTAGTTAGCACCTCATTTTTTCGTGGGAGAGATTGGTGGAAAGAGAAGGCTAAGAATGTCATATTCGCACAGAAACCATGGTGCCAAACTGCACCTGTATTTTGTCCGGTGAGTTCCGGCGCCAGTGGATGTGGCGCTACAATCAACAGTTTGAATTACCCGCGAACTTGGTTCCTTAGGTCGGTATTGTAGTCCGTTCTGCAAGCGGTACAAAGCTGCGGGATACGCAGCAGTCGGAATCCGAACCAGGGTGATTTCCCGGCGAAATCTAAAGCCTTCAGTCGTTCGCGCGCTCGCACACCACCGTAACACCCCAACAGGCGAGCTTCAAGCGTCTCCAGTAGCAGCGGCGGGAGCAGTAGCAGTAGCAGCAGTAGCAGTAGCAGCAGCAGCAGTAGCAGCAGCAGCAGCAGCAGCAGCAGCAGCAGCAGCAGCAGCAGCAGCGGCGGCGGCGACGAGGGGACTGGTACGAGCAAGCGCAAACGCGGAGAAAAAAACGCGACGAAGCGCGCACGGGCACCAGCAGCAGACGCCAAGGGTAAGCGGGGGAACGCTGCAGAACGGAAGAGGAAGCCACGGACCCGCAGCAGCAGCAGCAGTGATAGCGCTAAGGACATGACAACCAAATCCTCCAACAACGCTGGCACCAAGAGGCACCAAGACCACGACCGCGACAGGTCCCCTCGCCGGCATAGCTCCGGGGGCGGCGGAGAGCAGGAGGCGGCGCCTACCAACGGGTCTTCTCGCAACATGCGCCACCAGCGAGAGTCTCCCCTCCGCGCCGCCGCCGTCGCGGCCGCGGCCGCCAGGCGCTCCAGGCACGGTAAGACCACGGGCAGCCGTAGCCGGTCACCCGTTGCGAGAAACCGCAGCAGCGGGGGCGGCGGCGGTGGCAGGGATGGCGACGGCGGCTGCGGCAGGGAAGGCAGACAGGAGAGTCGGCGCTCTCGGGGCATGGAAAGAGACAGTGTCAGCCCCGGTGGCCGAAGGGACAGGGGGGGTGGTGGTCGTCTCGGTCCTGTTGCAAGCCCCCCACGTCGCCGCCGGCGTGACAGCGACGAGGAGGACGAAGGCGGCCGCCGCGGGGGTGGTGGCGACGGCGGTGGCCGGAAGAGCAAAAGCAGCCGGCGGGAGACGACGTCCTACGACCGCGCCCGCCGGAGCCGGAGCCGCAGCCGCAGTGCCAGCGCCGGACACAGGTCCGTGAGGTCCGTCCGCGTGGAGATCTCGCCCCCGCCGGCGCCGCCGCCGACGCAGAGCATCAGCCCAAGCCCACGACGCAACGGCAACGGCAACGGCAACAGGAGGAGGACGAGGAGCCGGTCGCGGTCTTCACCGCAACGTCAGAGGGACGGCGGCCGGCAGCGAGGGCGGGGTGGTAGCAACAGCCCAAGCCCGCAGCGTCGGAGGAGGAGCAGAAGAAGCCGGTCGCCGTCGGCACCGCCGCCGCGGCCTCACCGAAGCGGGGAGCGTGGCAGGGACAGCGGCAGCGGCCGCGGTGGCGATCGCCGGCGGGGGGAGAGCGGGAGCCCCGCCGGGGGCGGCAGTCGCTCGGGACGGGGGCGGGGACGCCACGACCGTCAAGAAAGCAATGGGGGCGGCGGCGGCGGCGGCGACAGTAGGTCTCCGCCCAGGAAACGACGGCATCACTCCCGTGGCCGTGGAGATGACAGTCGTGGACGCCATGACGCCGAGAGCCCGTACCCGGAGCAGAGGAGGGCTTCGCCGTCTCCCCCTCCCCCGGCAAACAGGAACGGAGCTCCGTCCTCCCGGAAGGGACGCATCAGCAGCAGGTTCGACAACGGCCCCCCCCCGCCGCCGCCGCCGCCGCCGCCTCCGCCACCGCACGCCGCGGCGGTAACCGAGACGGCCGGGAGTAGCGTTGGGGCGTTGCTGAAGAAGGGGAACGGACGAGGGAAGGACGACGGGGGGCAGAAGTACGGGTGGGGTGGAGCGGACGCGCGACAAGAGGTAAGTTTGTTTTTTGTCTTTTGTGGTCCTGGCCTCGCTGGGAGCGTTGTCTGCGTTTGTTGCGTGTGTCCTGCCGGCATGATGGCGTGCTGTTCACTGATCCGATGAAAGTACGGGAACAACCGCAACGTCGCTCTATTTTGTATCACGGAGCTGGGGACCAGTTTGGCTTTTGCTCTTGCTTTTTCTTCCCTGGAGTGTTTTGTGTTGGTTGCATGCGTCCTGCTAGGATGTATTCGTGACATGCGCTGCTCGGATGGAAACATAAACATCGCAACAACAGCAAGCGATCGCTCTAACACGGAATTGGGAGCAGAGGTGCCGTCGCATTGAGTGGCTTTTTGGTCTTTTTCGCGTGAGTGTTTTGTTCGCTTAGGTTCGTTCGCCTCCTCTCTTGCAACCTCTAACGTGGTACAGTCGTTGGCCCTCTCCTAGGCGGGTGCCCGCTATAGGGTTGGTGAAATTGGCTGGCACACATCTTAAAGGCGGGTTTACGGGTTGGAGAGCAGTTTGGTTTTTGCTCCTGCTTTTTCTTCCCTGGAGTGTCTTGTGTTGGTTTCATGAGTCCTGCTGGAATGTATTCGTGACATCCGCTGCTCGGATGGAAACATCTAAACGGCGGGTGCCCGCTATCGGGCGGGTGGAATTGGCTGACCACACATTGGATTTTCAAGACGGTTAATACATTGAAAAGGACGAGTGCCCTGTATACGGCGGGCGAATCGGTCTGGCGCATACCCGCCTTATGGAGGGCCTACGACTGAAAGTTGTTGTGCTTCCACGGTGATCGTTTTTTTTTTTTCTTGAAGGGAGAACAATGCTGTGGACATGTCTTCGCGCGGCGAGCGGCGCTAGCAGAGACTTCCGATGTCTGTGTGCATGAGACCTTCGCTCTTTCCCCGCCTAAGCCACGCAAACCTCCCTGCCCGCGAGGGAGGTCGCTTTTCCCGCCCCGCTTCCCAAGCAGAACCCAACGGGAAGAAAAGAGTATTGCCACGCAATAGTTTGTCGTGGAAAGCATGGCAGCAGTACGTGGAGAGCCCAAGAGCACCTGATGGTTGGCGTTATCTTGATACGAGGAGCACGAGGAATGATGCTAATAGGCTTGGCTTGAGGGGGACGCATGGTCCGGTGTCGCGTGATTTTCACCGCGAGCAAACCAATAGACTCCCGCTCCACGGTTGGCCGGACGCAGTATTGTCGCGGCAGCTGTTGCGCTCGCTGTTCTTCAGCTGCCGTATCTCTCTCTTCTCTCTCATGGTGTCGGTTGCTCTGTATCTCTCTGATCGGTCTGTCTGAGCACGTCTCTCTCCCTCTCTCTATCTCTCTCTCTATCTATCTATCTATCTCTATCTCTCATTACTCCTACATGCATGCAGCTCGGACCTTATGTACCTTTTCGCTTACCGTGACCCCCCCACCCCTTCACGCAACGATGCGCCTCCGCCGCCGCCGCCGCTGCTGCTGCCTCTGCTGTGTTCGGTGTCTCGTTGTTGCCTTTGTGATGGCGGCGGTTTCGACATATCCGGTGTCTCGGTGTCTTCGACATATACGGCGTGTGCCTCTTCGCCGGGAAAAGGAGGAGCCAGGAGACGCGCAGCCAGCCGCCCCGCAGGAGCTAGCGAACTTCGGGCTGTCGGGTAAGCTGGCCAAGGACCAGGCCACCGGCAACGTCTACAAGGGTGTCGTCCTCAAGGTGCGGCTCGTCGGGGTGGGTTCCGTGCCTACGCCATCTTCGATTACACACACACATGCTCTGTCCTCTCGAGGACGCGTGGTCAATGGACTAACCGCTAAGGCGTGCAGAACATAAGAGCGCCCACACACACACACACACGCTGGTCCGGTGAGAACCCGGCGTGCTCCGTCCCGGCTTTGCGGGGATGCGAGGTCAGCGGTATGACGACTACCGCATGCAAAGCTATGAGTACACCCCCCCCGACACACGCAGCCTCTTGAGATGATTTGCCGGGTCTCATCACATCAAACAAATAAAAAAGGCTCCTGTGTGACCTTCCTCCTGTGTAACCCCTTCTCATACGTGAGAAATGTTACACCGAACGACGTGTAGACTGGCGCCAGACTATAAATAGGACGAGCACATGCCCACGAGCGTGTTAAGTCTAGGAACACTGACCTTGTCGTTTTTCCTTTCGATTTTTTTTTTTCTTTTGTCAGTGGCAAGAGCCGGAGGAGGCGTCAAAACCGACCAAGAAGTGGAGGCTGTACGTCTTCAAGGGAGATGCTGCCATAGGTGTGTGTGAGGGTGTGCTGTTGCTTTTTTCTGCTTCTCCTCCCCGTCCCCTTTCGCAGTTTTGGTGGCACCCTTGGAAGTTTGTTTGCTTGTTGTTGCTGATGTGTTTGCTGCTTCGGCCATTTTCAATGGCGAGGGTCTGTTGTGGTGGCACTGCTGTTGGACGTGCTGTGGGGGGTGCTGTTGCTCCAGCCATGGCCAGAGTCTGTTGTGGCGGCACTGCTGTTGGACGTGCCCTGGGGGGTGCCACCAATGGCGTGGCCTTTGGCGGGTGGTGCTAATCCAGCCGCCTGTCGTACCCCACCCTGTCTACTACCACCCGTTGGTGAAGTCTCGCCGATTTTTGTTGTAGAGGTGGAGCAGCCATTCTCAGCGTGCGCCGGGCCTGCTGCTGCTTACGACAGTCGCAGACCGTTTGCGTCATGGAGGCATAGGAAGTGGGCTGAAAGGGCGGGAACTTGTATTGACAGGATAGGGAAACACGTTTCTTGGGCCACCTTTGGCAAAGTAGGAAGGAACGATGGCCATCAGTGATCGGTCCTGTGGGAACAACAATGCTCCGTCCTCTCGAGGACGGAGCGTTGCCGATGGTCTAACATCCAAGGCACGCAGTAAGTCTGACCCGGCATGCGGGGTCTATGGACTAACGACTACGGCATGCGTTTCCATGAGTACCCCCTATGCTCCGTCCTCGAGGACGCGTGGTCAATGAAGGTCTAACAGCGAAGGCATGCCAAACATCAGTACGCCCCCCTCCCCGCTGCAACTTCCGGATTTCGTAGCAACCCTGCACATCCACCGGCAGAGCGCGTACCTCGTCGGCAGGGAGAAGCGCGTGGCCGACATCGTGGTAGACCACCCCAGCTGCTCCAAGCAGCACGCCGTCGTGCAGTTCCGGATGTTCGAGAGGGTCGACGAGAAGGAGGGAACCACGCGCCGAAGCGTCAGGTGGGGTTGGGTTGGGATCCGGGTTGGGATCCGGGAGTTGAGATTTGGTTGGCCGGGCGGGGTTGGGTCGCGGGTCGGACGAAAAACAATAAAGGATTCCCTGCCCATGGGAGGTAGTAACCTTGGGGATGTTCCTCACCGCTACGTAAGCTTATGATCCTTCGGGCTAAGGTCGGGGTTAACAACACTATTAATGTTAGGATAGGTTTGAGGTCGGGGTTGGGTGTAGGTTCGGGGCTTGGGTTTGAGTTAAAGGGTGAGCGTTAGTGTTCAGTCGGGTACGGTACGGTACGGTCTGAATGGTTTTTCTGGGGTTAACGCGGGTCGGACTGGGGGCTCTCACTGTTTTCAGTTTGCACCATATCCGTTTTGTCGCGCGGCATGAGGGGCCGCTAACAGCACCGCGCGTGTTGGCTCGCTTTGACGTGACAGACCGTACATCATGGACCTGGACAGCACGAACGGGACCCTGCTGAACGGGGAGCAGATCGAGTCGGCGAGGTACATCGAGATGAAGGTACGAGTAGGCAAGGGAAAACAGGTCGTGTTCTATTGAAACCTCCGACCTTGGCTCTGTGGTACAGCGGGGGCCCCTCAATAACGCCGGTATGTGCCCGGCGCATCGAGCGGCGCTATTTTAATGTGCAGAATGACTCGGTGATTCAGGCTGTGCGCAGCAATTCCATCGGCGCTATATCGGGCCACCGGCGCTACTCCACCGGCGTTATTGACGCCCCCCCACCGTATTGCGGCTGCCGTAATCGTTCGGAGCGATGGCGCATCCCGTTTGGCTGGCTTTTCACAGCTCGATTGCCGAACAACCATGAAGGGGGGTACGACACCCAAGACGCGTGAAGGAAGGGTCCTCGACGAGATCTTGTCGAGACAACGCGTTTTCGGCATCGACAGCCTCTTGGCTGCGAAGCAACCGAGCTTTCGTGAAATTGAACCAAGGATTGTGTGATCGCTTGCCGTTTTTTTTGTTTACCCCACCCGGTGTAACTGCGTTTCTGAGAGCCGAGTCCGCCCTTCGCAGTCTCAAGATCGGCGCGCTTTTTGTGTTGCCGCCCTCTCCTCGTGTTCCTGTACACGTGTCTGTGTCTTGTTGGTGGTGGTCGGGGGCGGATGGTTGAATCGTCCGTTGAACTCGCCCACCGCCTTGCAGGAGAAGGACGTGGTGAAGTTCGGCACCAGCACTCGGGAGTACGTCCTCCTCCACGACAAGTCCAACGGATAGAACAGGATCCGACGACTAGAAGAGGATCCGACCACTAGAAGGGGACCCAACGGATCTGTCGCCTGGCCTTTTACTCTCCGTCAAAGACGCACTCAACCGATTGCGTCAAGTCCAACGGATAGAAGGGTATCCAACGGATCGATTGCCTGGCCCATTGCTCTCCGGTGTTAGAAACGCTCCAACCGAGTAGACGTCCAGCGGGGGCACGGATTGGACGTGGTCGTGCTGACCGGCGGTTAGACGGACGTAAATCAATGAAGTTGCTGTTGTCCTCTGCGACAAGGAAAAGTTAGAGAAATTGACAGAGAAAAAAGAAGCAGGTTCAAGAGAATGACAAGCCTTGGGCAAGCCTTGTTCTGGATTAGCACGAGCAACGGATTTTTGAGATTTTTTCCCCCGCGAACATTTCCAAAAGGTTGCTCAATAGCACCGCTAGTTTTTTTTTGCCGCTGTAAGGTATCTTTTCTGCCGTTCATCGAGGGAAATACAAATTGTAGAATCATGTTGTATCAAAACGCGGAACGCGTATTTTCCCTATCAGGAGGCGAGACAAGGCAGGGTAGAGATGTGTGTTTCGGAGGAAGGGGGGGGGGGGGGGGGGGCACTTTCGCCGTTATTGTTTTTGCATCGGCTGCTGCTGCTCCCGCGTGTGTTATGATCCCTGCAGTTGTATCCCTGCCCACGCAGACGAGTTTGGATGCCACCCACTTGCTTCCGCCGCCGGGACGGAATAAAGGGGTGTTGCGTTGCGGCCATCCCGGCGCGTATTTTTAGAAGAACTATGCACACAACAGACCTTTCGTTGCCGAAGGCACCACCCGCGGAGCTAAGAAGCCGTACTCGTTTGCCGGGGAGGAATCAACTATCAACTGGTGGGAAATGTTGGTCACTTGGTCACTGCTGTGTTGGATACGAGGTGGGAAAATTATTGTTTAGTGCGAAGGCAACAAGGAGGGGGGGGGGTAAAAATTTCGCAATAAACTTGCTCTATTTGTACCATGCATGAAAAGAGGAGGATGCTTTACACGCTTTCTTTGGCGTGCTGAAGACGGCAAACCACCGGTCGGCTACGCCTTTTTGTTAAGGAGTATTTATTGTGTGTTCGGAGAACGAAAAATCGGGTAAATCGAGTTTCTCACGTCCTAAACAAGGTGTCATTCTCTTGCAGGGGGGTATTTCTGTTGTGCTTCCAAATGGCAGTGATGGTGGTATTTCGAGTAACGCTCTCCTGGTGGGCTTCTTACGTCGCTGCCTCCTAGCTTATTCGGCTAAAAAAAAAGTCGTGTCTCGTGGGCATTTCGGCGTTAGTGTGACGTTCATGGGATCCACGACCGCCTGCGTGCAGCATGTCTATCTAGGTAGAGGCTGCACAATTCGTTTTTTTTTTTTTTTGCTTTGTAGCGCATGCGATGTGGAATGGAAAGACCGGCTGAGGAGTCAGTCACGCATGGATGGGTGACGTGCGTGTTTCTTTCCGTGGTATTTTACGCAGAGGGAGGGGAACACCGTTTTTTGTGACCACGGCATGTTGGAGCTTCCTGGCAGGAACGAACGCTGCTGATTTACAGCAGTAGTGATGGAAAATGAAATAGTAATACGCTTTGTTCCACCGGACTGACGGTTGAGCAATTTTTTTTTCTCGAGGTCAGCCATAAGACTTAAGTCCGGTCCACCGAGGAGGGTGGGGGGGGTTGACCCTCTTCTTGGTGGTGAGTGTTGCGGCTGCGAGCAGACGCCCACAGACAGGCAGGTGCGATGGATCGACAAGAAACATTCAAGATACCGCAACCCAAAACCCATTCGCCCTTCTCGGCCTGCTTCTCTACTCTTCAGCATCTATTCGACGAGTAAATTGGTTGATCCCCCGGCTATGCAGGAGGCCAGCCCCTGGCTAGCTGTCAACCGTGGGGCTGGGTTGGTCTGGCTGACTTCCTCTGCGTAGTAGAATCAATTTATGTCGTCACGTATACGTGTATCAACGTTCGCTTTGTTTTCGGCGTGGTGTGGGGGGCGGTTGTTGATGATCTGGCGCCTTTTGTCCGTCATCCTGAAACAAACGCCGTCACCGTCCGCCACTCGCACTCGCATATAGGCGGAAGAAAACACCCCCCCCCCCGTGCTCCTTGCGCGGAAGGAGAGAGAGAGCCGCGGGGCCCAAACCGGAACCGCTCCGCGTAGGACCATTTTGTTAGGAGGGTTGGGGATGGAAAAGCCACGAATGAACCCCGACATTCGAATGGAGAAGGAGATGTATCCCTCCACCCCCGTCATGGCGTGAACGCAAGCCTACACGGCAATAATACGTGGGTGTTGCCTGCCGCCGATGTACCCCCGGTCCCCAATTCGACCGTTTTTACCGGAAGACAGGTTGAGAGCGTACGTACGCGTTTGTCGTTGACGAAAACAAGAAATCACAGGGAAAAGAGGTACGTTTTGAAGCAAAAGGTGGCTACCCAGGAGCAACCCCGGCCTCGACAGGCTACTAAGCCCCGAAGGCAAGCAACAAAATACATGATACCATTAATTTACCAACGTTGTATGTAGTCTAGAATTCGGACACAACCACGTACACGTAGCTGCCAGTCGGGGACAATTGCTCGCGTCAACGCTAACGGCGACACGCTTGAACGACTAGGTTAGGCTACATGCATACAACGACACAAGAACGACCAACACCGAAAAAGACGAAAAAAACGACGACAGAATCGCCCTCGCACGTGCTTGCCAGGGCACAACTTGTGTTATCATCAAAATTCGCACGTACAGCGTAACATACGGTACAACGCGACGTGGGGTGTGTGACCTACTACGCGCTCCCCAAAACATTTGACGTGGCGTTTCCACGAAAGACTCTTTAACAACTAGCAGCCCTTGGTTGCCCTGTGCACGCGAACACGATCAACAGCACTTGTACCGACGGCAGACGTCATCGCTGATGTCAGACACTCAGCCCCGGTCACACAAAAAAACGTGCGAGGTATTCGATCTCGATGCACCCCCTCCCCGTGCATTCCTCAACACTACACGCCCCCTCCTGAAATAGGGATGTCCACGGCTTTTGTAACCCATTTGATTTCTCAGGGTCTGAATGGTACACACCATACCGTGTCTTTCGAGCCCCGTGTTGTACGATGCTTGCCATCAAACTCAAATCTTGGCGTGTGTTTTAGTTTTTCGTAAAATAAAACACATGCTTTCTTCCGTTCCACCAAATGTGGCACGGTGACACCACACGCCGTGTCTTCCTGCGTCCCCGTCGTGTGTATCGTTAGATGCCTGCCCCACAACTTTCAAAACCTTGGCGTGTTTTTCGTCATATTTCCTACCACAGTACACCATGCACTCAAATCAACCAAAAACACGCAACGGCACTTCGGGTTGGATTATCACAACCTACCCTGCAGCTAGAAAACACGAAGTACCTTTTATTTATTACTTTCCCCCCAACCCTCTCCCACTCGTTACCGGCAGTGCCGGGTCTCGCACGAACAAACAAACAAACAAGACAAAAAGGGCTTCGTGGAGCATCACCCTCACACGCGTCTCTCTTCCTATCGACACGAGTACCCGGCGAGCGGTTTTACAGTACCACCATCTTGCCGAATCCCTACCCCCATCGCCGCCACATCGGTGGAGACGTCAAGCCCCGACCCTCCCGCACCCGGAACCACCACCGAGCACACCACGCTTCATTCCGAAAGGCAGGAACACTTTATCACCCGACGACAACAAATTCCGGACCCCCCACGCGCCGGCGTATGCCAACCCCCCTTTTACTACCCGATCACAACAATTCCGGACCCCCCAACACGCCGGCGTACGCCACCCCCCCCCTTCGCACGTCCCGGCTGTGTAGGGATGCGAGGTCAATGGTCAAACGACTACGGCATGCACGACCGTGAGTACATTCCCCCCCTTCGTACGTGGGACTCGCCACTTGTTTCTAGCTAACGCGAGACTCACACAACACCACATTGACTGCTGCGCACTCATCTCTCACCAATATGCGACTGGGGCGAAAAACCTCCATAATATTTTGCCGGGCGTGAAATTACCAATTATGTTGCCGAGCATCGAGGTCGAGAGTATATTCTACACTTTCCCGACGCTTTCTTGGAACTTTTTCGAACCCCAAGTGAAACGGGAGTGAAATCGGACAGGATAAAAAACTCGGAAGCTTGCTATTCCATTTACGCCGAGAATCCGTTGGGGTTCTTGCTTTGCCAGGCCCACATGTCCCGCATCATCTCCTGGTGGTGGTGGTGGTGGTGGTGGTGGTGGTTGTCGTCATTGTTGTGTGGCCGGTTCCGGGCAATAGCGGAGAGAAGGTTGCACCGTGTGCACAGCGGGGGTGGAGAGTTTCTTGGGTGAAAATGGGAAAAAAAAAAAATCTCCGCACACCCGAAACGCCCTCTCGAGATCCACGACATTTGGTGCAAGCCGTTCTGATCCGTCTGCGGTGACAATACCGGAGATGATTACTTAAATGAACAATAACGAAAGAAAACACCCACACACCAATCACGGGGTCCCAGATCATGGCGTTAAGAAGCCGCATATTGCGTTTCCAGCCGCACCTTGCTGAGACTGGCGTCATTTTCAGGTGGGCAGCCGGTTGGCGAGGTCAACGCCAACAACAACAAAAAAGATGGAAAGCGTCGTCCTCGTCCGTCGGACCAGCACGGGTATTTGAAGATACTGAGCGGAGGCCGGAACAGCTTTTATTTTGAAGAAAACAACAAAAACAACAACAACTTACGTCGAGGCCGAACTGGGCCTTCCACCCGAGGTCCTCCGCCGCCTTCGCCGGGTCCGCGTACACGCACGCCAGGTCTCCCACCCTGGGGGGGCCGACCTTGTACGGGATCTGTGTCGTGTTGCGTCGTGTCGTGTCGTTCCCAGCGCGTGTTTTTGTTTGGGGCAGTCGGGACGACAGCAGTAGTCAAGTCGCGTTTGTTCAGGTCCCAAAAGACTCATTGCTGCTCAAGAGCGTGTGCCGTGTGTGCAGATACGTGCTGCTGCTGCTGCTGTGTACATATGTAGCGCTGCGTGGCGTTGGTCTGCATCCAGAGAGGGAGAGAGGTGGGAGAGGGGGGGGGTTCCGGCAAAAGATACGAGCAATAAGCAGGCTCTGCCCGCCGCCGCCGCAGAAGCACAAGACAAGTACATGTAGCAGCAGACCAAAGCATTCCAAAGGGAGATCACTACCGGTAGTACGTTGCACCCAGAAAGAGGCACATACTCACGTCCTTCCCCGACGCCTTCTTCATGGCCTCCACCATCTCCAGCACCGAGTAGCCGGTACCGGTACCTGTTCGACATTTCGAGAGAAACGATGCACACAACGCAACTACGTCGTTAAACAAACACACAAATGAGAAATCTGCAAGACGAACAATCTGGCAGGAAACCGCCTCCTCCCTATCAACAATGAAGGGGGAGCGAAAGACCGTCGCCGACACACACACACACACAGCAGCAGCAGCAGCTGCTGCTGCTCTCGGTTTCGTGCCGCAAAAAAAATGATCTGAGTTGGTGTAAATGCATGGCGCGTGTGTGCCGGCCCGCGGTCACGTGCGTATCATGTACCTGCACGTATAAGCTGTAGATGCCGCCGCCCGCGTTAATTAGAACCCGGTCAGTCGCCGGGAACACCAGGCATATCGCTCCATCCCGGCATTATAGGGATGCGACGTCAATGGCCTAAAGGCTACGGCATGCATTTTACATGAGTACCCCCCCCCCCCCCCCCCCCTTTTCTTTTCTCGGAAGGGGCCCCCCCTGGCTGGCGAAATACACTCCCCGGGGGTGGGGGGGGACCAACCCCCGCCCTTTTTTTCTAGGAAGTCCCGCCCCTTTAGGGGTCCGGGGGGGAAGGCCAACACCTGGATTTTGTCCCGGACCCCGGGCCCCGCCTTGGGGGCGGACTTTTCGCCCAAAAAGGGCAGGGCCTCCCGCTTGGCCCCCGCCCCCTTTTTTTTATGCGTTTTAACCCAAAGAGAAAGAGAAAAAAAGAGAGAGAAAGAGAGAGAGAGATGGGGGTAAAAAAAAAAAAGGAAGGGGGAAACCCAGAGAAAAATACCCCCACCCCGGGGGAAACAAAAAAAAAAAAACACAGGGGGAAAAAAAAAAAAAGCGC